TAATCTTTAATTAATAAAAAAGAGAATTTTAAGGGACTAATTATGGATACATTTCAAAATTAGATTCCTTTTTTAGGTACTTTTCCGTATTTTAGGGTATATGTTTTATACATTTATTATGTTTATGTTGTAGAATATGTTATTATTTTAATTGTTGGAAATTCTGGAATTTTTTATGAATTCATACGTAGACATGAAAATTAATTATATTCTTACTGATAGTTATCATATTGTTGCACAAACATTTATCAGTTGACTGATTTATATAATAAGTATTATACTATTTCAAGAAGAAAAAAAATAATGATAAAATATTTTTATTTATTTTAAATGCAAACTTTATCCTGATTTTTTTAAATTTTTTCAAGTATTTAAATAATAAAATTGAAATTCAAGAAAAAATAATAGAATTTTGGATAGACTTGAATATATGGATATTCATTGCTTTCACATATTCATAAACTAATATCATTGACATGCTTCTTTGTGTGTATTGTATTTTTCAAGTAATATTTTCTTATGAAAAATTATATTTAATATTCTTTGCACATACACAAGTATGAATACTAGTTTATGTAAATATCGATTATGGGATGCAATTAAATATTTTCATTGATGGGCTTGATATACATCCCAAACTATGTGATTTATGATGTGACCGCGTGTGCACCAAAAGTTCACAAGGCTACAATTCTATATATCTTTCGTGCTTTTAATAAATGCAACAACATGTTTCGGATTAATTGGATTAAGATAACCTTCTAGATTCAAATTCTGCTAAATAAGAATTCAAAATAGGGGTTAGGAGGAAGAACATTTCAGGTATAATAGGGTAGTCATCTAGCTGTCAACCAACATAATCTCTGTCTTATTATAAAAAAAAATACTTCTAAATTCTCTTCACTTAAAACCCCTAACTTCAAGATTTGCCTTAAACAATTGTCTTCGAAGTGACACTTCAACTAATTCAACCCGCTTAATTAGCAACAACTCACGAAAAAACAAAAATAAAAAGAACATCGAGTAAAATGGGGTTGGTCTAAGAGTTTGGTAGTGATTGACTAAAATCATTTTTATTTTTTAATATCTAAGTTTTGAGTTTTGAGTTTTTTTTTTATTTGAAAAAATACTTGTCACTTGAGGGAAGGATTCTTGTGTCATACATGAGAAAAATAAAATAAAATAAAATAAAATAAAATAAAATAAAATAAGGAGAATCACGGAGATTTTTTTTTTTTTTTTTTGATGTTTT